ATCATGCCATCTCTCGCTGGATGAAGCCTTGGCCCAAATGGCCATAAATTGAGGTTTGAAATGGCCGGGAAATTTAATTGACCCAAACAAGACACGATTGATTCATTATAATCCCGATGCCTTATAGTTTACGAATGAGGACGTTTCCCACGACACTGGGCCTGACTCACCACATGCCTATTTACATGGCTGGTTTGGCGCCTGGAATTTCGATAGCAATTGGAGCCGTACGCCAGTCCACGCAGGCCGCCAGTACAAGAAGAAACAAGAAGGCGGGCAGATCGCGTACGGAGCAGTCCGTGGTACACGGAAGGAGAGAACATTCGATAAAAAAAGCGCCGCCAACCTTTCGATGGCTGAAAAGATTGCTGCCATGTACCCACTCCCCTCCGCATGTCACGGACACAACCTAACCGCATAACATCATCACTATTGCCTATTACCAGCAACCTGCGTTGCGTTCTGAGATCGGAGAACCTTGAGAGGCGAGATTGTAACTACCGGGTCCCCGAACTCGAAACTGCCATGGATCGGGAAAGCCACGCCTTACTCAGATGCGTCCGATGGCGATAACAGAGGCAATCCAGAAGCCGAAATTATCATGTCCTTTGTTTCGGTTGGTTTTGCCACTGTCTGTGCCCTCTATATCCTCTGTTGCTCACTTGGCTGATGGAGAGATGAAAGTATGTATGTAGTGATAGCACCACGGAATGGCAATACGAACGCCAGCTATTCCTCGGGGATGGTCTTTGCGCCTCGTGCTGCAGGTCGCTTACGACAATTAGCAAGGGAGAACGGGCCAAGATGTCTTGCTTCTGCGGCAGAGAGCACCGTCGTCACTGTCACTGGACTCACCACGGAGTACTCCGCTCTCTAGCGCTAGGTTCTCCTCCACAGCAGGTTCAAGCTGGCTTTCATATCGAGGCCATCTGATGGCTTGCATATTATCTGCAACTAATGCCTTTCAGCCTGACATTGCTCGAAGTCAGTCTTCGGTTGGTTCATGCAGGCCCCGCTTGTGATGAGTATCGTTTGGGCCCATCAGCCCATCTTTTCTCTGGGGGGGGAGAGACTTGCAACAGACCAGGCTGTTCCCCGTCTGACCATTTTGGTAGACAAACCAACTTCTTTTTTTGCCAAGTCAGGACGCAAAGACGCCTCACTGCGGCCTGTGGGCCAGCTAGGGCAGTGGAGATGTATCTGGTCTTTGATCTCTTCCGGCACAGGTGATGCGCCGCGCAAAGGAACCAAAATACAGCCAGCGGTGCCGCTGCTCAGCACGAACCAAGACTCATATCGGCGGATGATGCCTCGGGTTGGCTTTGGCGATATCGGTGATGTTGGTGCCTGACGTTGTGTTGGTGCCACGCTTTGTGAATGAGGTTTGACTAACTGCTGATATAGCACTCCGCACTCTCCCAACTTCGGAGTAAAGGTCAGGAATGCCCAACTTCCCGACCTATTGCACACTGGCCAGCGCCACGCGCCTATTGCGACGTTGGCGACGGGTGACGAACCGACCACTCAAACTCTCCGTTCCGATGATGCATTGGCTGCGGACGTGGTTGACATACGGACTAGCTCGTCAATGCCTAAAGGGCCGTTCCGACTCCCCGGTGGCAAAATGGGGTGAATGGCAAAATTTCAGTACAACGGTGAACTCCTGGGTAGAAGCAGCGGTCAGCAAGCACAGCGGGACGGGTAAATTCCGCTACCAACGATTACTAGTTGTTTACGGCCTCGGACTCGATAAGGAGCCCTGGGCACGGGCACGGGCACGGGCACGGGCATGATGGCAACCAACCGCATTGAGAAACATCCACGTGAATTAGTGTAGCTCAAATTGGCCAAGTTTTGGGCAATTCTCACCGTACTTGGGAATTTCAGACAACAAATCGGGCAGGAAGCTTGTGTCAAGGCGCACCGCTCACGAGCGCCTCAGCTCGACATATGTCGGCGACCATGCAAGCAATGAATCACTGGGAAGTAACGGTGCGACGCTCGGGAACGCTTTCTTTACTTGTTCTTGTCTATTACTCGGACAGATGTCTAGTGCAAGCATCAAGCCAATATATCAGAAAAGGCCAAACTTGAGACCACCTTTCAGACGAGGGCTGGGCAGGCGGTGGTATGTGAAGAAGGAAGGCATGCTGCTCAGTAGCACAGCTAGATGACCCAATTCTATACGACACATCCCGGGCTCCTGGTCTCCAGGGATGCTGGAAAGCTGTTACTGCTAATTTTTGTACTAATGACTTGCAACTTCACGTCGTGGAACCGGATATCAGTCTCTCACATCAGGTCGAGAAACCACCCCATGGCAAATGACTCCCCAGCCAAAAAAAGACACCAGGCTCTGGAGTCTCACCAACTACTACCGTTTAACTTGGCTCCTGGAATGGCGTACTGCGTCTTACCGCGCGCCATGGTGCAAAAGTTCTCAGGGAGGTCACATCATTGCGAAATACACTTCTGAAGACGGGAGGATGCAACATAGACAGCGGTCACGCCATGGCTGGACCTCCACTGCGCCTCAGCGGAGGACTGGTTTTGTGAGAAAGAAACCAAGTCTGTACGATTTGTCGACATGAAGAAGAAGCAAGTACACACCGTGTCCCTCGCCGAGGGCTTGTCCTCGTTACACACGATCCAACTTGATACCTGCCTACCGTCAGTCACTGCCGATATTGTGGGAGCCGGCCCAGGGAACGCATATTCGGCATTGAGTATGGCTGGGCAAGTCTCATACGAGATGCCGCCCGGTTAAACGACGCGAACAATGAACGCTTGCGCAGCAACGACGGAGCAGCCGATGCTACGGACTGTTTCGGGTTGGCAGGATGACGGACTTTGGGCGCGGCGGGTTTGAGTCAGAAGGTGAGCTCGTTCAATGACGCTTCAGTGGCTGCCAAATGTAAGACGCAGCGCGCTTTGATACATCATATACTTAGCGTTACCACGGCATCTTTCCACACAGTTTCTCTGTTGCGATTCAGCAGAGACAGAAAAGAGGAGGTGGTCAAGGGCCTGACGATTCCCAACTCGACGGGCTGGTCTCCCGACAACGAGACCATGTGCTACACTCGTTCCAAGGCTTATCGAGTTTGTGCCTTTGACTACGACAGCGTTTCGGGGGCAGTTTCCAAGCACCGGCTACTACAAGCACCGCGCATCCGGAGAGCCGGATGGATTTCGCATCGACATGGATGGGTACGGCGAGAGCAAAGTCGTCAAGATCAGTGCCGAGGGCAAAGTAGTAGTACGTAGGGCAGATCTATTTGCCGACACGCGACAACACCCGGGTGCAGTTCTTGTCGGCACCGAGCTGACTTTCCCGTCGGCGGGCAGACGAAGACGGGCAAAGATAGTAAGACGAGCCGCGACTATGGCAGAGCATTGTTCCGAGTGGACGCGGATGTAAGCGGGCCAGAGCTGCTCGACTCAAGGATGTACGGACACGCAAGGGGGAGAGGGGGAGAGAAGGGGAGCAACAGAGGAAGAAGAAAAGCGTCGAGGTGCCCAGGGACCCTGAGGGCGAAAATGAACCAAAATAGACACTTGACATGGCATGAATCGCAGACACACTGGACTAGGGTACGTTTGCATGCTGCATACTCCGTACGTACTCCGTGTCCGCCGTTTGAACAAAGCTAAAGCGCTCAGAAGGCAACCGTCAAAGGATGGCGCCGGTACGTCCAACCTCCATCCATGCGCATATACATGAGCATCGCATCGCGTCGCCATGGACCATGGGCCATGGCCTGTCTCGCATCTAGCCCATCACACCGATCCACGCATACACATACGGACATGGACGTGGACATGGACATGCATGAAAGCACGTTCACCCAAGTGTTCCCCCGTTCCATGCTGCACCTCAGCCCGACCGCGGCGGACTTGGACTTGGACTTGCCATGCCGTGCCGCGCCGCGCCTCCCCGGCTGTGCCGTGGCAAAATCCCTGTCGTCCGTCCCAAAGACGCACAGGCACGACGAACCCAACCATGCCGGTCCTGTTTCCCCAGTCATGAAAAACACAACCGTGAACGGTTCGTGAGTGGTTGGTGTAGGTTGTAGGTTGTCGGTGTGCAGTGGATGGAGCCCGGGGCTGCCTTCTTCACCGCTGCAACACAAGAACGCACAGCACAGCACAGCACAGCACAGCACAGCATCGTCTCTTCATTATTGACATGCCGAGGACCTGGTGGGCGCTTCCACTCCGGAGTTGATGCGGTGTACAGAGTACGGATGACGGAGTACTCGGTATCGATATATTTGACTGTACGGTGTAAGGGTTTGCACGGGGGAAGGCCTTGCCAAGTTTTGTAAGGCTGGACGAAAGTGACGGGTCATATTTTCATTGCGCTTGCGGTGAAGAGACACGATCAACAAGCAGAGGTCGAGAGAGGACGTCCCCTTTGATTTTTTGTTCTTTTTTCCTTTCCCATCATCAATGCCACTGTGGCATGGCCCAAGGCAGTGTTTGTTTGTTTCAACGGTCTCGCCGCTGCGTGAAGAAGTCGGCCACGGGGATACCTTTGGGGCGGGAATTGCTGGCCGTGTTTGATGGCCAGGGCGAGCTGGTCCGTCTGGCGCTGGCCCGGATATTTGCAGTCCGGCGTGGGTGACGATGACGCCACCCACGCAAACGATACGCGCACACACGAAAGGACCAAGGCGAATGTCTCATGTCACTTTTAGGGCCTTTTGACGAGTGCTCCCGGTGTCGGGAGACCAGCTGGGCCGAGGCGGACGACCCCTCGCGCGGTCTTTGCTGGCCTCGCTCCTCGCTCCGTGGGGGATTCCAAGACGGAGCTGCCGGATTGCCTGAGTGCTCTCCGTGGCGCCGGCGTATTCGACCGGCTCTTTTGTGCGCCGCGTCCATGCTGACGATGCTCGTCTGCAGATCCGTCGCCGCGTCCACGGTCCTCGCGCCCGCTCTATCCTGTTCCTTACTCGGGACGCATCTACGGTCGACACGTTTGTCCCTGCGGCAAGAGTTCAACTGCGGCTGTTGTCGTCGTCGTCGTCGTCGTCGTCGTCGTCGTCGTCGTCGTCGTCGTCGTCCCCTACTTCGGCGTCATAGGGCATGAATATCTGCGCATTTGCCTTGTCCAGGAACGAATTCGCCTCGGTTCTGCTCTGGACATCCTCGGCGGCCATGACGGATACCCCGATTGCTATCCCGACGAGCACGGGGGAGCGAGGGACGAAGCTGAGTCCTATTGACGCCAGGTTGGTTGCGTCCCGCCGCGGAGATGCCCGGGAGGATGCATCAAAGGAGGCCATAAAGTCGGGAGACATGTCGATGCCACTTCCAATACTCTTGACCAGATATCGCTTGGCTGGATCGAGCGGCCGAGGCGTTGGCTGGATTCAGACACTGGCTCGGCAAATCGACAACCAGTGAATGTTTGGAAACTCGAAAGCATCGAGTTGAACCGTGTGATTTGGGCCGAGACTGAGATTATTTGTTCCAGAAGCAAATTTGACACCTTGACACGTTGTGCAGCATATATATATATATATATGTATATACATTACAATACACATGTGCACTCCGTATGTATGTATGTATGCATTCGTACATGGTCAGCAACACCTCCCGTCGTGTCCAGCCTTGGCCCATCGCCCCCTTCCTGTACTCCGTAAACGAGCACGACCGCGACCAAGACC